TACATAATACAAACTATGAGTTTAGGGCAACACATCTAACAATAAGGAACATCCGACCCTATGGATGTCCCAAATGAAGCCATAGAGGAGTCATCTTCCTCTTATTCAAAAGGTATTTCCCCTTCTATTTCAAGTATGAATGTTTCTGATCTGAATTTCATTGTTTGTGCAGAGAACCCAGAAGAAGAGGTATGTTTGGCCAAAGTGGTGAAGAAAGCAAAGAAAAAGAAAACTCCGGCCCAAATTACGCCTGGCGAAATTTCGAAACTGTGCACCCGAGCTGCTATAGCTTGGTTGGCCGCCAAAAAAAAAGCTAAGGCTGGTCCATCTAATAAAGCCAAGAGGCCTAGGGTACATGGAGAGGTAAAAGAGCAACTTGAGGAGGCCAATAAAGAGAGCCCGCTACTACTGAGCCACACCCATTAAAAGCCAAAAGGGTAAAGATAGAAGTGAAAAAGCCTAACTTCACAGCCTGTGGTATCTTAGTTGAAAAGGGTGTTGATGATGAGCAAGAGCCCGTGCCAGAGTATGTCAAGCGACGACTTGTGGAGAATGGTTGGGAGAAGTTGTTTGCCCCAAACGCGTGTGTCGGAGGCCTTGGTAAAAAAATTCTATGCTGTCATCCACCCAAACCGAAGAGATACTGTGAGAGCAAGGAGTAAAGTGGTAAGATTCTCTCCTTCGATTATTAACACTCACTGTAGGTTGCCGGATGTGTTTGATGCAGTAGGTAATGAGATTTTGGTGTATCCGACAGATGAACAATTGGACGAGGCGCGTAACCTCATCTGTAGGCCACACAAGTCATGGACCGTCTCAACAACGGGAAAGCTTTCTTTAAAACCACTGGTTATCAATGAGCAAGGCATGGTATGGACGTATGTGGTGAAGAATAGGTTGATCCCCACTTCCCATGATGCTTCTATCAAACGTAATAGGGTGATAATGGTCTACATTTAGATGAAGGGCATTGAGTTCAACTTTGGCGAAATCGTAAGGAAAGAGATTCAGAGTTGCTCGGAGAAAATGATAGGCCCACTTGTTTTTCCTGAACTTATAACAGAGCTATGTTTGAAAGTAGGTATAGAGGCCGATGATGAGGATATAGTGACGCCTAAGAAGCCGACCACATCCATAAAGAGAGTTTGGGGATACTCGATCGTTCATGAAGAGGATTCCCTCACTACCGCCACGGATTCTGAGACTCAAGGTGTGGTTACTAGAGAGCAATACGACGAGTTAAGGTGCAAATACGAAATGCTCTTGGCTACTTAACACGCCACGTGTGAGTTTCTCAAAGAGCTTTATGGAGATGGTGCACCTTCTTTTCTATATGAGCTTGAGGCCGAATTGCCTTCTTCTTCACGACCTACCGACGATGATTCTTTGGATGATGATTAGGGGAGTATATCTCTCTCTTTGCTTTGATACTAGATGTTTTGGATCTTGATCTTATTTGATAGTTTACTTTTTGTGCTTTTAGTTTGCTTGTTAGATTGTTTAGGTTAGTTTTGGTTTTAGGATATTTTTTTTATTTATTATTTTTTTTGGGATGTCGTGCTGTTAGTAAGAAATATTGGCTGTGTTTCTGCATGCCGCTTTAAGTTCAAACTTTGCATGCTTCATTATTCTAGCTACAAGTTTGCCCTTAACTTCTTCAACAATATCTTTTCTAAACTTTCAACATGCTCATATTTTTAATGAAAATATTTCATTTATTCTTTGTTTTTGTATCATGTCAATGACTATACTTAAGGGCATGAATATGTTAGATTTCCTAGTTTTAGGATCAAGCGATAAGTCATTTTCCACTTTTTTTTTGTTATAAAAACGTGTTTCTGCTTCTTTTTGTTTTAAAACTTTAACTTTTTCGTTACTTTGTAAGTCCTTGTCATTTTTGTGCCAAAATTTTGCATCTCTCAAAATTTCTTTCCTCAATGAGGACACTGTTTCCCTTAAGTGTGGGAGGGACGGTTTGTGTCTTTTTGTTTTAGAAAGAACATGCTTTTTACGTTTCGAAAAAGAGTAAAAAAACAATAAAAAAGAGCTTTATGCAAAAAAAAAGTCATACGCAAGAAAAAAAAAGAAAAAATAGTCCAAAAGAAGAAAAATCAAACAAAAAAATGGTCTTGACAAGAGTGATAAGAAACATAAGCGGCAAGAAAATGCATTTACTTTTTCGCGAGTCCCATTGTAGATGCTCATTTATCTTTAAATGGGTGACGTTAACATCTTGAAGGGTAGTAGCCTACCTATTAAGGTGACTTCGTGAAATCCATTGTCGACACCATTTTATGTCGGGTTGCTACCTAAAAAGTTTCTATGAGTGGCTGTGGTTGGAAACCGATGTTAGTGAGTGGAAAACCTTAGGGGCTAGTAGTCGGTCCACGTGTCTTCTTGATGTAAGCTTTTGAATTGAAACGGAAGTGTGCATATTCCTTGATTTCATAAAAAAATTTGTGTTTTAGAAAAGAAGAGGATCTAGAATAATTTTTTTCAAAACAAGAATGGTTTATGATATATTGGCTTGAGATTAAAGTTAGGAGGTTTAGCTTGTGGAGTTCTTCCTGAGACGAATATGATTCATTTACTTAGAATCTTTGGATTGTTGCTCATTCATCTTTCTAGCATGTTGATTGTTTTGGATTTGTTGTTGTTGTTTTTGTTGGCTTTTTAGCCTTAATCTCAAATTAATTAATTTTAATTAATTAATTAATTAATATTTTGATGATAACAAACTTAATTTTATTTATTGACATTTTTTGTATTTTAAAGTGTCCACAATGTAGAGCTCGTTACAACGATTCCAACGACTGTTAGATCATCCAAATCGGAGCTCAAACGAAGAAGTTACGATCGAAACAAATGGGAAGGAAAAATACCCGAGAAGATGACGTGGACAGTTCGTAAGCTGATAAGTGAAAAGCTTCTTTTTAAAGTATATATATATATATTGAAAAAGAAAAGAAAAAGATTAAAAAAAATAAAAAATAAATTCAAAAAGAAAAAGTCAAAAGTTACCGTTGGTAACTTTGTTAAAAAAAACAAAAAACAAAAAACAAAGGAGGTCACTTCACATTAAATGCTGTCAGTTTAAAAACAAAATTGAAAAGTTACCGTTTTCTCACATATATATATATATTATTATATATATATAATTAAAATAACTGATCACATCACTTTTTATATATATATATATATATTTTATTTTATTATCATTATTATATATATATTATTCTTAATTTATTTTTTTTTTCAAAATTATCTCAACCCTTCATTCTTAATGATTAAGATCTAATGATTTAAAATTAAACTTGATTTTTTTTTACCATTTTCTTCCTTCTATTTAAACTAAACTTCTCATTTAAAATTATACAACAATTCTCTTATTCTCATCCTCCATAACTTCAAAAATTTCATTTTGCTAATCTCTCCAAGTTCTCAATTTTTCTTTCCATCTTATTTGTGAGAGAAATTTTATTGTTGTGAGGATTGAAATTTTTGTGAGCTCAAATTTGTATATTTACTCTATTTGAGAGTTTGTAAGTATGTGTTTCAAAATCTTCAACTCATTGTAACGGTGTGATCCTCACCGTGGAGAGGATCATCTTTGCTCTTGTGAAGAGCAGTGTACCGGTTTGACTCCTACCGTGGAAAGAGTCAGAATTTCAATTTACAACCGAAGAGGTGCTTGGGAAGTGGAGTAGGACAGTTGTGCCGAACCACTATAAAAATTCCCGGTGTCAAATTTCTCTAACCCTCTCTCTTATTTATTTTTACAATTAATCTTAAAATTTGATTGTTTGCTTTAAATTTCTCTTGTTTGCCTTAGAATGTATTTTATCTTACTTAGTTAAAATTGCATATCTCAAAAAGTGTATTATTTTTGTTTAAATTGGGCTCATTTATTAAAAAGTTTATATTTTGTTAATTAAACCCTATTCAGCCCCCATCTAGGGTTGCCATACCGATCTAACAATTGGTATCAGAGCTTTGAGGTTGCTCTTCTTTGATAAACTTAATTGTTTTCGAGCTATGACAACTTTAGGTTTCATCCTTTTACCGATAGTCAATCTATTACTAAGCCTCCTTTCTTTAATGGTAATAATTATAGTTATTGGAAAAATAGAATGAAATTTTTCTTGCTTTCTATTGACTATGATTTGTGGGATGTTGTTGAAGAAGGATTTAAAATTCCAACAAAAGATGTTGATGGTGTTAGAGTTGTAAAGCCTAAAGAAGAATGGTCTATAATTGAAAAGAAAGCATGTTCTTTAAATGCTAAAGCTATTAATTGCTTGTTTTGTGCTTTGAATGAAGTTGAGTATAATAGGGTGTCGATTTGTAAAACCGCTAAGGATATATGGGATAAATTAGAAATTACTCATGAAGGAACTAGTCAAGTAAAAGAAACAAAGATTGATATGTTAGTTCATCAATATAAAATGTTTAAAATTGATGAAAATGAAGCTATTTCCGATATGTTTATTAGATTTACTA